GGCAGTTCGGAGACTCCTCCGATGGTGAGACCTCTCTGCAGACATCACTGGAGAGGCTGACGATGGTATTACACCACTGGCAGTAGCGCCCAGTGGAAGTGTATTTTTTCAGAGCCTTCAAATAGTGGAATGGAGATTTTATCAAGGTTCTGCTTCTGCCTTACCAACTGCTCAGGGTTAGTGAGCAGCGAGGGTTAGTGTTTTGCTCTGCAAAACAGAGCAATTGCTTTCCTGGGTGTCAATGAAATGGCTATTTGAGGCATTTATTTATTTATTTGTCTATTTATTTATTTATTTTTGGCAGACATAAAAGTTCAGGCTTGAGACTGCTCTGCTTAACTTCTTCACTCGATTTGTTTCCAAATGCATGCCAGGCATGGATTTGGGGTCAAACTTGCTTCAGTTACACCGTTTAAATCACTGGCTTGGCAGACTGCTATGCACTTGCCACAGTGATTAAAATTGACCTATGTATTTAGATATGCAAAGTCATTTTGGCCTGTTGCAATTTTTCAACTGCCCTTTTGCATTAGGGCACTAGCTCTTCTTTGGACACTAGCTCTGTGTGTTACTAGCTCTTTTTTACTTCAAATTTCATTGACTGTTGAGATCCAAACATGCAAGTTTTCCTCTTACACACCAAGGGGAACCCTTTTATCCTATTTTCTGCCTGATAAGCTAGATTATGCATGATCTTCCTACATGTAATACTCCAAGCCCCCTTTCAGATGAAGTGCTGTGGCCATGTATTTACGCATTTCCATTGCAGGGTTGCCCTTCATTGGTAAAAGGATGTTTCAGATTAGTGAGGGAACAGGTAGGGAACTAGTCATATCTGTGACATACTCACTTTGTGGCAGGTGAAACGGGTTGTTCACTAACAAGTGGTTTGCATTGCTTTACAGTATGATTTGCTACACATTCTGCTTTGATGTTTAGCAAACTGGCGTGCTCTTCATGCCAAACATCTGCGAATGACAGGCACATGCAACTCTCTACACCTTCTGTACAGCTTAGTACCCGCCTGAAATGATGCGTCAGAGTCCATAATGACCTCTCCACCATGCATGCATTAATGTGCATGAGTCCTAAAATCAAGAAAGCATTGAACAGCCATTTAATAGTGTAATTCACACGTCAAGCTTAAATTTCAGATGAGTTTCTGATCGTATTATAAATCTTATTTATCAAAGAAATTCATATTGGCTTGTACCAGTTCTCTGCAGAGTCCTGTGTAACGGTCAACGTAATGATGCACATGCAAACGTAATTTGTACGTTCTGTCTTTAGAAAACTTCCTAGAGGAAACACAGTTTTTGGCCCTTTATCCTGTCCAGTCACAAAACTCAGTATATTTGACAAAACCCTCCCTGCCAGCTTTGACTACTGGTGTAAATTTGGCATAGACCTACTGTCTGTGAGGCAGTTGTGTGGGAGAGTAGTAGCGGAGGGTTTCACCTCGTGTCTCACTTGCACACACTTAAGAAAATCTCTATATATGACTTTTCAGACAAAATCAAGCAACAGCTGAGCAGACTATTCATTTAATCAGGACTTTATTATGCCTTATTACTTATACGCTTATTGAAGCTTTGAGGAGAGTAAGATCAGGTAGAAATGAGAATAGAAGTTTTGTCCAGAAGAGTAAACTGCAACAGAGTTTAAAAGACATGATACAAACCACATGCTCATACTCTTCAAGGTGATTTGTGCTTGGAAGGGATGAGAGTTAAGAATAAACCCTTGATATCAGAAGACAAGCCTGAGCGTTGCAAACCTGTTTCCTACTGCCTACCTCCACAGCAATGTCTCTGTTGAGTGCCAGTGCACCATGGCCAGCATTTGGAAAGGCTGGGCCCTGGGGAAACCCAGCCAAGCTGTGAGGGGGTGACCTTGGGCTGGCAGCAGAGAAATGAAGGGATCTTAAATTGACCTCCTGTACCCGACGCAGCACTGCCAGGAAACGCCTGCCTCCACTTGAGACTTGCTGCCCTGGATAATCCACCGGGGGAAGCACCTATCCTGTTTCTTACAAAACAAGAATAGAGTGTCGTCATTCTTATAAAATGCAGCTGGAGGAGGAAAGGCCCCTTTGCCCTCCCTGCTGTGCGTTGTTGGAGGAGATACCCAGTGCTCAGAAGACCACAGTGCAACTCCACTCCTTCCTGAGCAGTGGTACAAAATTGGAAATTGAACACAGCTGCCACCGAGCTCTGTGGGCAGCCCCACCTTTGCACGTCCCAACACAAGGCTGTGCTATGGGGAAAGACAAGCAGCCGGCGAGATGCTTTACCAGCCGGCATCACCACAGCTCGCCCGCCCCTCCTGCGTTGGCGGTGGCATGTGCCAGGTTGCGTGTGCACCTACCGATCCCCGGGACAGAGCAGCAGAAGGGAAGAGGCAAATCAGAGACCTGAAGATGTATCACTTACACGTGCCAACAACTTCAAAGCTCTTCTCCATACTGATGAATATTTCATTAGGTATCAACACATAAAACACATAAAAACTAGTGATTGTCAATAAAATTGGGTCTCATACGACACACCCATTTGCTTCATAGGATTGGTCTATCCTGATGTGCCCTCAGCGCATAGTAAAAATATCCAAGCTACCTATATACCAGTAGAGATCCGACCGCAGCAGCATCTTCCTGGGTTACAAAAGTTGTCCAAGAAACAACGTAAATATCTGGTACATATATTTTCACTCAGCTTCACCTCCTAGGCTAGGATGCTAGCAGTACCTGTGGTAGCTATGTTTAGAGCTCTTGGCTAGACTTCACTGCTGGAAGCCCAGACAAGATCATGTGTGGGCTACAGTCACGCTTCAAAAACATCCTTATTTATCAGATAAAGGATAGGAATGGAAGAATAAATTTTGTAATGCTATTCAATTACTAAACCATCTCCCTGAATAACCTGAATGTTTATAAAAGCATAAAGAATGTGAATGGAGGACGTTTACATCTCAGTACTGGGGGCGTTCATCAAACAACCGTTTGATTCATGCTGGCCATCAGTCATCAGAGGTGAATCAGTTCCTGCAACAGCAACTGGTGGGAGAAGCAAACTTGCTTTCTAAGACTGGTTTGTGAACAGGACCACTGTTAGAGGGGCTCTGTGCACTGACAACAGTTGCTTTCTGGGACACAGCCATCGAATTTGTGTGCAGCCGCCCACAATGAGACTTGCCTAAAGACTAATGTGGGCTGGCCAGCCTGGTGCTATGGCCCAGACATATGGGGTTCATGTTAAAGAGCGATACTTCTCTGGAGAGAGTTTTCAGAGTCATGGAAAGAGAGTTACCTTCTGACTTCTCCCTTTGACTGTCTCAGAGGGACCAGAAAAATTCGGTCCGGATATTTTTTATTTGACAATACGAAGACAGAAATCAGAGAAGAAATCCTAATGATGAAAATTTTCTGAAACCTTAGTTTTTCTATATTAAATTAGTTAACAGCCATATGTGGACCATCTATCTGTCCAGAAAATAAGCAGCATACTATTCATTACTCGTAGGAAGAGGTTACTGGCTCAACTACCTCCCACATACAATGTAAATGTTTTACAGTTGTAATAAAAAGCAGCTCCATCTGGACAACTTTCAGCAATGCACCTACTACTGCTCACTGTTTGTTGAGGGCCAATGTTCAATACTCTCAATCTCCCAAGGCTTTTACTTATATTCCTTGAATTTCCATCTCTAGTCTGGTAAGTTAGATAGTCCAGCATCTAAAAGACAAACTGTCCTGCCTCAGTGTTTATTACTTATTATCCCAATAGGAGATGTTTTTTACTTACTCTTCCAAACGAGAAAGTTTTATAGGCAACCTGGATGATATCACCTGCACCATTTGGAAGGACTATGTATATTGGGTTACTTTCAGTTTTGGACATTTGATGGAGGTCTCCTTCCTCAAGTTGCATTTCCCCTTTGCTCCTTATGAAAAAAAAAAAGAGGTGTCTTGTGATTCAGAAAAAGCTGTTCTTTCCTCAGAGACCTTTGAGTACTTCAGTCTTAGCCAAACAAAAATAGCGGTCAGCTGATAAATAAGATTTACAAGAGAAAGTAAGGTACAATTTTTAACATCTTCAGACCTTTTCTGTCTCTCTCTCATCTGTGAGGAAGGGGAGAAGATCTGTACAAGTGCAAACAGGCCATTATGCAAAAGGGGAAAGTCTCTTTCACAGCGCTGAAAGTCATGTTGCGGCAACAGGCTTTGATCTAACCCCAAGATACCATCTCCTAAGAACAGTTCCTTCTTTCCTGGCTGTTCACATGAGCATTTTCAAGCCTGCAATTTATGGCTAATTCAGCTCTCCCTCGCAGCCATTTTTAGCTGACCAGTTTCCAGAGTATATTTAAGCAAGACCTGCAGGCATGTGGGCGATTTCTGTTTTGAGGTAGTTCATGTTCCCCTGTGACAGTCAAATCCCCCTCGCTGTGCACAGATTGACGATCTAGCCTCTGCTGAGTGCTTCTTTCAGGGAAAAAAAATCCATACAGAGCTGCTCTGCAGCCGTTCATCAGCACTTAGAGGTTCCCTGAGCTGGTGCGCTTGGGCTGCAAAATGTGGTGGGCAGATCTCTTTCTGCATCTATCCCAGCCTGCTGAAGTCGCTGTGGGTATATCCGAAGGCAGAATTTAGACTGTTTAGATTGCAAGTAATTGCAGTAGCTTGCTGAACCACACGTGAAATTTAAGAAGTGGAGTTTAGTCTTCATTTATTTTCAGTAGTGCAAAGTCAGAGTAATTCCACAGGATTTGCTGGACTTGAGGAGGATTTGTTCTGATGTTACAGAGGAAGATCTATCCCTGGGAAATTAAGGTGAGGCAATCACATTTCCTACTAGGTCTTCAATTAAGCTAACTTCAGAATTAATGCTCCTACACAAAACCAATCTTAAGGAAGAGAAGCAGCTTCATTATTAGGATACTGGACTATTAACTGACATAATTGATAAAAGTACTTTCAGTGACCTCTGATGTTACAACCCATTCTTTGCATTCCCTATAATGATCTTTAAAAGGTTTTATTGACTGGAGAGATATTACAGCTGACGTTATCCGTTGGGTGTTCACAGTGCGGAATACATCGTTGATATGTTTTGATGGCAAAAGGAAAAAAATGAATGGGCCTAATGTAAAAAAATGAGCTTATGTTGCTAGCCTTCCAGCCTGGCAAAAAGCCACTAAATGAAAAAAAAAAAAAAAAAGACAGACATTAAATGGATGGAATGAAGACAGCCTGCTTTGAACAAAGTCAAAACATGTCTGGAGGATGGCCATGGCAGTGGCCATGCCTGGCAGTGTGCTATGCACTGGCAGTGCTCTTTGGGGATGAGCGAGGCACACTCCTGGTCCTCAAAGGCCGGTCCTGCCGCAGAGCAGTGTAGGCAGCTAAGGTATATTCATGGAGCTCAGGTCACAGTGCATGCTCTGCCAAGCAACACAGAAACAGCCTGGGGTTGTCAATATATGTGAGGCACCCAGACAAGGAGGACTATGTGTAACTCTGTTGCATTAGGCATGAGCTGCCCTAACAAGTCTTTAATTTACACAGAGCAGCCAGCTCAAATTTCTGTCTTAATTTATTATAGAAGACAATAAACAAGCTTGAACAATCTAGTCAAATGAAAAGAAAGAAGGGATGGGATTGGTCTCAGGGAACACCACAAAAGGAAAAGGGCATTTGTATCAGGAATAATGTGCCCAGCAGGACGAGGGCAGTGATTGTCCCCCTGTACTCGGCACTGGTGAGGCCGCACCTTGAGTGCTGTGTTCAGTTCTGGGCCCCTCACGACAAGAAAGACCTTGAGGTGCTGGAGCGTGTCCAGAGAAGGGCAACGAAGCTGGTGAAGGGCCTGGAGCACAAGTCTGATGGGGAGCGGCTGAGGGAGCTGGGGTTGTTTAGCCTGGAGAAGGGGAGGCTGAGGGGAGATCTGATCGCTCCGTACGACCTGAAAGGAGGTTGTAGAGAGGTGGGGGTCGGTCTCTTCTCCCAGGCAACCAGCGATAGGACAAGTAGGCATAGTCTGAAATGGCGCCAGGGGAAGTTCAGGCTAGAAATCAGGAGGCATTTCTT